TTGGTTGTGGACTCGAGAGCATATAAGTGAGATTCAATGAAGCAGAATAGGTATAGAATCTATGAAAATTCGAGTTTGCTTGCTATATTCATGCATAATAGGTGCTTTCAAAAGTGTTTCCTAATATCATTTTCTTAAACACTGATTCAATGAAGCAGAATTATCAGCACCAATCTAGTTATTTGCAACTTTTGAATTCCTTTGATAGCCAATATATATTTACAAGTAAATGATGTTTTTCCGTTTTCTTATCAAGGAGCATATAAGTGAATTGTTTTAGAAAGTGAATGAATGAATAACTTACAATATTCATTTATTTTTCCGACAAAATCACTTTTTTTCTATTTAAAAATGAATGAATGAATATTTTTGTACTAAAGTCTTGATTATCTCTTGAAAGTTGACCAGGTTCGAATGGTATGTACTAAAAATCTTCATTCATTGTTTTGGGCTTTTCATATATAGGTCCATTATAATGACATTTTATATATACAAAAAAAATAAAACCCTTCAAGTCCAATACTTTCAAAAAACTCCATGCTGTATTTCAAGTGAATTATTTTTAGCACATTACGAATCAGTTAGAAAACGATAAGTGGCTGGTTGAGGGCTTTTTTCTTCAAATAGTCTCTCTAGAGGTTTTTGTATAAATTAGGTAGTTATGGTGTCTTTTCTAGTTTCTTTTTTTTTTCCCCTTGAAGAAACCGTATACGTTCATTATCAACTCTGAAATTGAATTCTAAAATTTAACTGGACAGGAATCGGTCCATGCTAAGCCAATGCACAAATTAATGGACTTGCAAAACAGAAGCAAAAGGCCATAATATTTAGGAGAATTTCCACCGTATATAATTATTTGACTATATAGGATGTATTATATATATGCGAGGATCTAAATGTAGAGACTCGGGATCCCTAGGAAGGACATGATCGCATGCACATGGTTGTTGTAAATTATAGGACTCCATTGGTCCACCACTAAACACAGTTAAACAAAGCTAGCTAACAAAAAAAAAGCACAAAGATGGTGAACGAGCTAAACTTGAGGAGAAGTGAAACTGCAGAACCTTCATATTTTCCCTTCCGCCCATAGCGATTTCGTGATAGCTAGCTAACCATTACGACTGATCCCCAACAACGTGCCAAACAAACTTAGGAGCATTACAAATATTAAATCCGGCTATAAATATCTCTCTCCATTCTCGTTCTTTCATATCTGTAAAGAGTTGAAGAGAAAAACCTTGCTGTAGCTATTTCTGTGCATGAGCGAGTTGGAAAGTACATATAATATATAATGGCTTGTCATGGATGCCCCAATGGCAATGCCAATGTCTGGCGCTTTGTTCTGTGCCTTTTGATTGCCATTGCCGGCTTCGCTCCAAACCCGAGTTTCGCTAAGAAAACAAAAGTTGATGGCTTGAAATTGAACGTGATCGATGGTTGCTGGAGATGGAACTCGGATTGGAGAAGTAACCGGCAGGAACTTGCATTATGCTCAGTGGGATTTTCTGGGAAGATGAGCAACAACATAGGAAGAGATGTCATATACTATCAAGTCACGGACCCAAGTGACAATGCGTTGGACCCCAAACCGGGAACTTTGAGATATGGGGTTACCATGATAAAAGGGAAAAAGTGGATCACCTTCCAGAGGGAGATGCACATTAGGCTTGACAAACCACTTCTCATTAGTAGCTTCACTGCCATTGATGGAAGAGGTGCTAATGTTCACATTGCTGGTAATGCATGCTTGCTGGTCTTTCAGGTACGTATATTAATTACATTTATATACACACGCATACGTATTTAATTGGCTAGTTAGTGTTCAAACCTAAGACCACTAGTATGTAAGTCAAAACTCTTTTTCATTGGACTAGATGCCGTTGACATTCATAAGTATATTTAAGATAATGTAGTAAGTACCAAATTTATATAATTATAATATATTCCTAAGTATATTCAAATTTCAATCTAACACTCGGAGTTTATTGAAAAAGTAATCTTCTGTTCTTATTTAAGGCTGAAAATCTAACCGGCCTATATTGTAACCAAAAAAGAATCTAATTAGCATGTATGGGGTAGTTTGATAACCTAAACCCTTGATTTTCTTTTTCTAAGTGAGGGATAGTTGGGACAGTTTTGAGTGGTATGGTCAAACCGCCACGTGCTATATATTATCTACTGTTATAATATGGGTGAACGACACGTATTATATATATACATATATCTCATGGAACTAGCTAGGGAATAGTTTTTATTGATAATAATACATGCATTATAAGTAAATTTGTAACACCACATGACAGTCTTGCTATGATTTTTTGGAGATTGAATATAGTAAAGATATCTTGTGTACATTTTCATGCATGTAAACTAATTATATTATTATTTTAAACGTTATCAGGCAAGCAATATAATCATCCATGGCCTTCGAATCCATCATTGCCGACCCCAACCACCAAGCTCAGTTATGGGTCCAGAAGGAAAGATAATACCAATAGGGCAGGTTGATGGAGATGCAATAAGGTTGGTAACAGCATAAGGTTTGGATAGACCACAATACACTCTACGAGTGCCAGGACGGTCTTCTCGATGTTACTCGCGGATCTACCCATATCACCATCTCCAACAATTGGTTCAGAGACCAGGACAAGGTTATGCTTCTTGGCCATGATGATGGCTACTTTCGGGACAAGAACATGAGGGTGACCGTTGTGTACAACCATTTTGGACCCAACTGCAACCAAAGAATGCCAAGGTAAAGGCCCCTGGGCTAGCTATATCCATATATTAATTGAGATCGCTGGCTACCTTTACTTTCAACTCCTCTATTTATTAATATTAGCAAAGTGTGTAGGTAATATAAGTGTGGGACATTTTCACCTTCGTATTCTCAACAGAGAGTGAGTATTATATTACTTACTATTGCATGCATGCAGGATTCGCTATGGATATGCACATGTCGTGAATAATCTTTACAGAGAATGGTCGCAGTATGCCATTGGGGGAAGCATGAACCCTAGTGTTAAGAGTGAAGCCAACCTCTTCATTGCACCAAAATCGGGAAACAAGAAAGAGGTAATTATTAACTCAAATGTATATATATTCAAGTTCAAATGCAATGCCCTTAATTAATTACTTAATGATTTTCCATGTACGCACAGATCACTTGGAGGAAGGACAGCATTGGAGACAAAGAATCCTGGAAGTTTTACTCTGTAGGAGATATCTTCGAAAATGGGGCTTCTTTCGTCGAAACAGGTGCCGGAAGAGCAAAGCCAAACTATAACGGAGAACAAACTTTCCCAGTTGTTAATGCCAAATCTGTCCGCTCATTGACAAGGTCATCTGGTGCTTTGATATGCATCAAAAGATCCAGATGCTAATTAATTACGGCATAGGCTCATGCGATGCAATGTGGAGATGATATAATTGCATGTCATATATATATATATATATATATATACATGCATAGGAAAATCAATTGTATGTCAGCTGAAAAAAGGTGAACAATTGTATAGTGGATATATAAATCTCATCTCCCTCCTATAGTAATGCAAGATATATATATATATATATAATCGATTATATATAATGCCATTGTTCACCTTTTTTACGATTATATATATATAATGCCATTACCCAAGACTATACTTATTTTACGATTTATTTTTATTAGTGATCAGGACTGGCACTGAAAATGGTCATAAGAACAGTTGATGTAAAAGATTTCAGTTTTATAATGATGCAGAAGACCAAATCCCAGATGCAATTCCACAAGGGTAAATGACCTAGGCCATTTTTTCTCATAAATAAAATTCATTTTTTATTATCGCGCAATGGGCTAATAGCCGGAAATCATTAGAATGGGAGGTATCGGAAAGAATTTAAATTCTCATTCCCCAACATCACTTGTATAAATAAAATAATTGAAGAAATAACTCTAGCCCAATTAGCTGAACTGGTATTTTAGCTCTAAACCGTAAAATAATATGACAAAATTGTATATTTAAAGCGTATAGCCGTTCGGCTATACTATCAAATGTTGTTCAGCAATTGAAATCTCCACTGTGATAATCGTTTTTCCATTTAAACAAACAAAAAAAAATTGCAAAATCAGAAACATACGTAAATTGCACGCCATGGCAGCCACGGATAGAGACTCGAACTCGTAGTTAGGCGGTCTGGGCGGAGCTAGGCGGCCCCTAGGCGGTCTGGGCGGATCTAGGCGGCCCCTAGGCGGTCTGGGCGGATCTAGGCGGCCCCTAGGCGGTTTGGGCGGAGCTAGGCGGCCCCTAGGCGGTATGGGAGGATCTAGGCGGCCCCTAGGCGGTGTGGGCGGAGCTAGGCGGCCGCTAGGCGGTCTGGGCGGATCTAGGCGGCCGCTAGGCGGTCTGGGCGGATCTAGGCGGTCTAGGCGGCCTGCGCAGGTCTAGGCGGGTCTGCGTTGGTGTTGAGGTCTGCTGCTCTCATAAACCAGAAGTGCCATGTGAAGAACAAGGATATTAGGAAGTTTCTTGATGGGATTTTTGTGAGTGAGAAGAAGAGTGCTTTTTCTGATTTTGATTTTGAGTTTTTCATCTGTACTCTTCTTCTTTTTTTAAATCTTGCATGGAAATTTTGATGAGTAAGTTTTACTATATTTTGGGTTTCTGTTGCCAAACATAAATTGTGGAATTCTGGGATTATTTTATGCAGGTTATTGATTTTTAAAGTGAGAAATGTGATGGCCAATCTTTCATTTGCACAATCTTCAGTTTTTAAATGTTTGTCTTTGAGCCAAAATGGGGAAGAACACTTAAAATAATTTCCACTAATAAAAAAGCCCCAAAAATGGTTCTTTATAGTTACACCATCAAGTAAGTTAAACCCTGGAAAAACGTAAGGTGTCATGCCTTTTTAGAATTGCTAAACTGATTGTGAATTCCGCTAAAAAACCAACCCATTAAAACTTGATTCAGTGATCCCAATTAGTCCAAGAAAGTTTCATATCCGTATCAATGGAGGGTTGCTCTTATTACTTGGCAATGGTACTGGTTCAGCTAATATATGGTGGATCAAACATCCTCATAAAATTCTCCCTTGCAGAAGGACTCAATCCAATTGTGTTCGTCGTTTACCGCGGCATGTTATGGCCATGGTTTTGGTAGGACCATTTGCTTGTGTACTTGAAAGGTAAGCTATCGATTCTTGCATCTCTTCATATTTCCAGGCAGTAAAAACAGAGAAAACTAATTCTTGAATGGATTTGTAAAGGAGGAAACAAAGGCCTTCACTCTCATTTTCTGTAGCTGCCAAAATTTTTGTGCTTGCCTTGTTTGGAACCACCATCTATCTGAATGTGTACTATGCTGGTTTAGCATACACTTCTCCAACAGTTGCATGTGCCTTGAGTAATGTTATTCCCAGCTTGACATTTCTAATGGCAGTTCTACTTGGGTATATTCTCTGTCCTTTCCTTTCCCTTGCTTAATTAGAAAGGGGAATATAAATGTTCTTTTTTCCTGTTCTGCAATTTGCTTGTTCTTACACAGGTTGGAGAAGTTGAAGATTAGAACTGCTAGAGGTCAAGATAAGGTGGCTGGCACACTTTTCTGCATTGGTGGTTCTCTTGTTTTCACTTTCTGGAAAGGAGGATACCTATTTAAAGGTTTCGTAAATATATCTGTTGGTGAGATGAGGCATGTGAAGGAAAACTGGATCAAGGGGCTTTTCTTATTCTGACGAGTCACATTGCATGGAGTGCATGGCTAATCGTCCCGGTGATTTTATAATTGAATTAAGATGACACCCTTTTATGTCACGTAATGTCCAAGTTTAGTTCTTTGTCCAACTTTGGCTCTCTGGTCTCACAGGCTGTGGTCTCCAAAGTCTACACTGCTCGATTATCGCTAACCACGATGATATGCTTTTTTCGCGTCGTTGCAATCTTCTTTTCTTGATCTGTTTTTTGCAAGAAATCCAATTTCATGGAGACTGGAGTGGAACCTGCAACTTTCAACCATCGCCTACTGCGTGAGTGTTCTCTTTCTCATATCTTATTATTAGGTTCACAACGTTGATTTCAACAATTGATCATGCAAATTCTTATCTGAATCTGTAGTTCGATTTAAAAACCTCACAGCAGAACATGTAGAAGAGAACATTGTCTTGTGTGTGTGTGTGTGTATAAAGTAAATAAATGGGACATCCTATTTTGTTGTGTCTTATTGGGTATTTTTCTCCTTGTTGGTATAAGATTTATTTGAATCTGTCACAAGTTCTGTTCTTCATCCACTCCTTACTTTTGCAATAGGGAGTTGCAATCTCAGCATTAGCCTACTACTTGCAAACATGGTGCATCAGTTACAAGGGACCAGTCTTTGCAGCTATGTTTATTCCACTTCAAGTCATTATAGTGGCATTGTTCTCGGCAATTTCTTTCGCAGAACGACTTCACTTTGGCAGGTAATAACCTGAAGAACACAGACACCTTCTTCCTATTCCATCTTACTACTTCCACATTTGATGGTTTCACTTATATCCAGAATTTTTTTTTTTGTTTGTTTAAATGGAAGAACGATTATCACAGAGTTTCTTCTAAGGATTTTAAGATTTTATAGCATTAGAGTTGTTATCATAGTGGAGATTTCAATAGTTGAATGACATTTGATAGTATAGCCGAACGGCTATACTCTTTAAATATACAATTGTGTCATATTATTTTAGGGTTGAGGGCTAAAATACCACTTTAGCTAATTGGGCTAGAGTTATTTCTTCAATTATTTTATTTATACAACCGATATTTGGGGAATGAGAATTTAAATTCTTTCCGATACCTCCCATTCTAATGATTTCCGGCTATTAGTCCCTTGTGCAAACGGATTTTATTTATGAGAAATAATACCGGTTTAAACCCATAAATACAACAACCAAAATAGGGATCCACCAACGTCTTGTGAATCAAAGAATGTTGAATTTCATAGTATAAAATTGCTTGTATAAGAATTTACTTTCTACAATGTATCCATCGTAATTATGAATTGAACCCAATTACAACTTTTTTCTCATTGCACTTGACAACCCTGCTCCTACTTTGAGATACATCAGTATATTCTCTGCATATGAAAAATTGGATACAAAACATTCTAATGAGACAACGAAGAGGAGTTTTGAAATAAATTGAAGTTATCAAAGGTCATATGGCATTGATATATATATATATATACGAACTATTCTAAATGAGATTTCAAACAACGTGTTAGATGAGAAGAAGCATCTCATTAAATATACCATACCCAGAAGCTGAAGGTTTGAGTCCTGCTGAAATGGCCCTATATTTTTTTAGGGTAATGTACTGTGGAAAGGAAAAACACAAAAGAAGAGCTTCTCTTGGAGGACAAAGGAAAAAACAAAACAAAACAAGGTAAACAATACAGGAAAGAGGCATGGACTAACAACATTCAAGGGTGCTCAGCATCCCCGATTAACATCTCTAACTAATCAACTGATATGCTAGCTGTCGAATGTAATAATATAAACAAGGCAGAATGCCCAATTCACACTAGCACTCTTTTATTCTAGGCAAGTACTACTACTAAGAAGTCAGAATTGTAACTACTAAGAAGAATACCTGCACACTAAGGGCACATTTAAAGGCTTTTAACTTGTGTCTTCACCACATTTAAGTACAAGAGGATCATTGTCACAGCAGCGATGCAAATGATGGGCGTTCTGAACTTTAACAGCAAAAAAAGATAGGTGTAGAGTATTGAAAAAATAAAAAGGAAAATGGTTTATTGATTAGATTTAGGACTGCAAGACTTCATCCATTGACTTTATTTGATTTTCTGATATTCAAAACCCCAAACAACCTGATTCCTAGTATTTGAGGCAAATATTCAAATTCAGAGAGTAATATGATTCGTGTTTTTGTTGATCTTTAGGCGCGGGCGGATTGTGATGGACATATACTCCCATCTTTCTTGTAGAATCTGAGCAACTGTTGAATATAAAGGGAGAAAAATATGTAACCTGATTCACATATATATTTATTTCTTTCCCTTTTTTATTCTATATAGTCACGTGTGACCAAAACCATCATTTGCAATATATCTGTGATTGATATTGGAAAATCAACATATCTCTTTGTTTTCCCATCATAATATTCTGTTCCCTGCAACTGCAAGAGAATCAACACCGATGTAAATTTGTTCTGAAGAACAGCTGCTGCAATATACTCCTGCTAGAAACCTTTGTGAATATAGCGGCTATACATTTAAATTTTTTTTTTTTTTTTTTTTTTTTTTTTTTTTTTTTTTTTTTTTTTTTTTTTTTTTTTTTTTTTTTTTTTTTTTTTTTTTTTTTTTTTTTTTTTTTTTTTTTTTTTTTTTTTTTTTTTTTTTTTTTTTTTTTTTTTTTTTTTTTTTTTTTTTTTTTTTTTTTTTTTTTTTTTTTTTTTTTTTTTTTTTTTTTTTTTTTTTTTTTTTTTTTTTTTTTTTTTTTTTTTTTTTTTTTTTTTTTTTTTTTTTTTTTTTTTTTTTTTTTTTTTTTTTTTTTTTTTTTTTTTTTTTTTTTTTTTTTTTTTTTTTTTTTTTTTTTTTTTTTTTTTTTTTTTTTTTTTTTTTTTTTTTTTTTTTTTTTTTTTTTTTTTTTTTTTTTTTTTTTTTTTTTTTGCCCCTTTGTCGATGAGCCTCTATCCATGGACATGTGTCTTTTGCTGATTCCATTACTTTTTGCCTTACTTTGCATGCCAAATTATTTGATATTTACATCTGATATGCAAGTTAATCACATGATGTATGCATTTTGCAGCTTCAGCAGTAGGACCTTTCTACAAGGAGATCCGTTTCTTGGAATTTTCAGGATTCTTGATCTTTTATCCCCTCTGTTGGTTACGTTCATGGTTCGTTTTCTCTATGCAAAGGAAAATTTGCAAGGCACACAAAAACACCACAGCACAATGATGTGCCATGCTTAGTTTTGTTTTGGCGAGGATGGTAGAGTGTCCATGTGAAAAGTTTGACACAACAGGTTCCTTATGCAACAACACATATAAAAGCGATTCAGGAGATGATTGCAGGTCAAAGCCAAAAAGGTGGCAGGCCTATCATCTCTGTTTTACATTTGTGATGTTGTAACTACCGGAAGGTCATTCCAAAGGGAAAACCTCCTAGAGATAGTGTGACCAGTTGAAGAATAGCTTGCAGAATTTTCAAAAAGAACCTTATCTTTTTGAGCATTTGCAATGCAAGGCAAAGTAAAATTGATACACAATTTGTATAGGTTAGTACATATACTTGTGAAGGGGCGATGACTACATCTTTGTATGAAAAAAAAAAATTCATGGTGAATCATTGAGTGGCCTGATCCCTTTTTGGGTGCCTTTTGTTTTTAATCCTGAAGTGAAGAATTAAAAAGCCAAATGGTTCCTCAAAGAGGCCTTGGTATGCCTTGACCTTGGGATGGGGTAGCCTCCCCTCCTCCTAAACACATGCTAGAGCTTTCACTTCATATACTGCAAGGTGATTCTTGTTTATGGCAAGGAGGTGCAGCTCATTCTGGTGAATTTGGATGTAAGTATCTGACAATGATCTCAACTCCTTCCCATCTGGAATCTGCAACAATTTGCTTCTCTGTTTTTCCCACACAAAATCTGCAGGGCCAAAACGACGTCGTTAAATAACAGAAGTCACATTAGAGTAGAAGCCATGTCTGAAAGTAATATTGTAGTTTCCAATATGCATCAGCACCAGAAGAAACTAGTACATTCAGAGTGTTCGAGAAGGCAAGGCTAGTGACTCTTTTGGAGTGACCCTCAAGCTTCCTTGTAACCTGCAAAATATTTAAATCAAGGCAATGACAAACTTTTCGGGTTTGCTTCATCACAACATCGAGCATGATTTGTTTTTTTACAAGAACAAACAAATTTCCTTGTCTGAGTGGAGATTGTATATTACAATGGTGGAATTGTCCATGCCAATAGCAACTATACCATCATCTCGGGAGTGAAAAGCAAGACATGTTGCCGCAGGTGGCGGTGGCCTGACTTTCTTCATCGTATGCGTTTTTACGCAACAGATTTTTATGAGTACAATGAGTTAGAGCATGAGAAATTTGCAAACAGAACCTAAGCATATTGACAAACAAGATTTGGGAAGTTTTGGCTGGGAAAAGAAAATTTCAAGAATATTATGTGTTGGGTTTACCTTAAATGTTGTCATGTCAAAAATGGAGATCACCCCTCCTGTTGCTGATATAAGATATTTTCATTCTTGGACAAATCAAAGCAGGACATAGAGTCTTCAGGGTTGGTGCTGGGAAGGTCATTGTTCATCAGCTCTAAGCCACTCCTTGGTTTCCATAAATTAGGGTGAACCCTTGGGAGTTGCCTGCGTTCAATCAATATCATTAGAATCAAATGACCAACTGTCGCTTCGGTTTCAATTCGAAAGGAAAGAGAGGAGAAATCTAATAGGAAAGAATTATAAAGCATGTCATTCTTTACCACTCCACTAGAATTAAGGTCCTGTGGCCATTTCCAGAGAAAATGAATGCCATTTTGATGCTAACACCAAATGGCATCACCTCCATTTGTGTAGAACAGCCTTGATATAATGAGAAGCTACCAAAACATTTTAGAGTTTTTATCAAAATAGCCAAAATTTAACCCTCAAATTCATAAATGTCAGTTTTTTAAAAACTTTCAAATATAGCCAAAAACTCACTTAAATTGACCCAAATGCCCTCTAAATAAAACCTAACCAAAAAGCATGCTCTTCCAAGCTGTAAGCTACTGAGCACAAGCCTCACTCTCCACCCAGCCTACCCTCAAACACAAGGACACTGCCCCTCGCAAATCACCCTTAATGGAAAGCAAAGTTAATATAGGCAAGTTTGTGTTGTGGGAAGATAGTCTATGAACAGCGAGGGCCTTGCAATTTTTCTAGACCTCTTGTGCTGAGGGAAAGGCAGCACACATATGATGGTTTGCAAGAAGTTTAACCCCCATATCATATGCAGACTAGCAGTATTTATGATACGAATTTTGCAAAAAAGTAACTTTTTTTCCCATAAAAATTATTATGTCAAGAACTGACTTTAACTTTTTCATTGTAAAAAACTCCCAAACCCACGAATCGAGCCATAGTTGCAGAGGTGATTTTTATTGCTTGGCTTTATGAAACATTGGCTGTTACTTTTCTTCTTCTTCTTTTTGGTAATTACATTGTCATTTTTATAATAGGATTCATAGGCATGATTAAGTTGACGAAGCCAATCTTATTTTTGTGCTCCTGCTATTTTGGGTTTTAGCTTTTAGGTGTAATTGAGTTATAATTTAGAGGGCATTTGGATCAATTTAAGTGAGTTTTTTGGCTATATTTGAAAGTATTTTAAAACTGACATTTATGAATTTGGGAGTTAAATTTTGGCTATTTTTGATAAAACTCAACATTTAATGGCAAAATTTGAAACTTAAATATTAGATATTCCCATGTTGATATGCTCCCAATGCATAGGCAGAAAAACTATATAAATCAGTCAGAATTGAGAGACCTCATATTGAATTATTTATTTTTCTTTTTCTGAAAGATAGAGTACCTTCAGAGAGAATTGCAATTATGAAACTTAAATATTTATAACAATTAATTAATTAATTATTTTAAAAAATATATATTTATAAAAAAAAATAAAAAAAAGGAACCACCTAGCCCGCCTAGGCGGCCGATTTTTTGAAAACTTGAATGGCCCTTTTTTTTCAGATTTCTTTTTTCCTGGCGGGTCTATTGCAATTATGAAACTTGAATATAGTATAGCCGCGGCTATACTATTTATTTTTCTAAAAAAAAAACAGGAACCGCCTAGCCCGCCTAGGCGGCCGATTTTTCGAAAACTTGAATGGCGTTTGGTTTTTTTCAGATTTCTTTTTTACTGGCGGGTCTGGCATCTCTGCAAATACATTTTGTCAATTCTCAGTACCATAAGATGGGCAAAAAGAAAATCAAAAACTCCCAAAGTGATGCAGATAATAATAGCTGTCGGTATCGGTGGCAGCTTCTTAGGTCCTCTTCAAACAGTTTTAGATGATTCTTTCCATGCATATATTTTGCAGTCTTGTTTACTATTTAGTGTGAGTTTCCTTGTGAAAATGATAAGATTTCTTTGGAACACTGGTTTGATTACATTTTGCAGATCCAGAGGCTATCGAAACAGCAAGGGGAAGGCAACTGCATTTGTAAGTACTTACGTATCAATTTTTTAAGTGATTATTTTCCAGTTCTCTATATCAATGAATTAAGAGCCGGTAAGATGCTAATGGTATGAATCCATGTCTTGAGGCTTTTGAAGTGATTTCCCACTACTGCTGTCAAACATTGCGGATTACTTTCTTTTAGCTCCTTCATTTTAGGACCTACCTGATTGGAACAATGAGATTGTGTTCATGAGTTTATTTCAGTGGCATAGTTCTTGAAGGAGGGATGCATTCATCTGTTAAAGACATGTAGAGAAGCATTTTGTATTTGATACGGCACATAGGATTTTAGGACATGGCATGCTTTTGCTTATGCTTTCAAATTTCCTTTGTTTTTTATTTTTGAAAGCAATCTGTATTCTGTGTGTTTGGTTGTAGTTGTGGTGGTTTGAAGAAACATAGCCCATATTCAGAGACTATGTTAGATGCATTCTCTGTGTAAATTTTGGTTGTAGTCTTGGAAGTTGGGTTAAGGGATCAGATGCATTCTGTAAAAATCCACTAACATGGCCCATAAGGAGTGGCAGTATTCCATTTCTGATATTTGCAGTTGTGGTAGTTTCAAAGACCTTTACAACGGCTGAAACTATGTTGAATGTTTTGAACCCTTAGGGAATGGATTTCATCTTCTCTGGGGTTAGTGCACTGCTAGCACTTCTTCAAGTATATGAACACGTTGTTTCAGTTCAGGATTTTTGCTTAATAATCTTTGGGTTAATTTAAACAACCGTGAATGAGCTTGGGAGTGGGCGGGAATGAATCATATTTGGAATAGCTTAGTAATTTTATAATTGAATAATTTAGTCCTCAACATGGTATGATGGAGTGAAGGTTTATTATGTCTTTGTAGTTAATCATTGAGTTTGTCAGATAAAATGTAAGTTTTGAAAGATCTGCCTGCCCCTCTCTCTTTCTCATGATTGAGCGTAACAATTTCAGGCCTGATGCAGTTGCAAAGCATATGGAATGGTAGCAGTCAGCACTAATCTTACAGTATGGAAATTCCCTTTGTTCTCTTGCCTTTAATTGATTAAACATTCAGATTATCACTAAATTTAATTAACAATATTTCATTATCCGTTGGTAATTCTGAATTTATGTGCTTTTTTTCTTTTCGATTTTGACGGTGATGCTATTTATTGAGTTCATGAGAACGAAGGTTCTAAAGATATCCTCGTTATTTCTATTTCATATTGACATATTGGAGACATCAAATCAGGTTGAGAGGAAAATGTGAGGGTCATTTTTTGAAGAATTAAACTTAGTTTACCTAGAGTGCAAAATGGTTCTTTTTCATTGCACATGAGTTTGACTCCAGCTCTTCATTTAACTGCATCTAGAATATTGGTTTTGGTTATTTTTTCATCCCTTTCAATCATATTTTCAATGGATTCAGATGTTGAAGAACTGTTCAACGAGCATAAAGATCAATTTTCTCCTATATAGAGCAGTCGAGTCAGTGCAAAACTATGAGGGACATCAGCGTAAGTTATGCATCTGCCGCGGCAAAGTAGATGCTTGAAGATGTATTCTCCTTTGAGACATTAAGCAATTTATTTTTCATCAAATTGACTGTAATGTTTAACTCAAGTAAATATGCATTTCATGAACCCTCATAGGGTTCCTCCTGCTACCTCCGATTTCTTATATAGAGACGAGATCTTACTAATGCCGGTTACGAGAAGCTAATCCTACAGACCAAAGAAATGCAATTTGAGGTTTAGCAAGATTTAATTTTGAATCTGGTTATTTCTGCTAAATCCTTTGATTGGATTTTCAATGCAATTAGTCGTATGGCATACAGTTCATATTCAAATTACATAGGTATTTTATACAAGTATATACATTTGGAATTATATGAACTTGTCTACAAAACAAATATTTGAAGCAGATTTTGGGATCCATTTGGATAAACTTTGAGTTAAAACTGGGGGGATTAATGTGATATGATGATGAACCGAAATCAGTAATGGAATTTTAATACTGACTTGATCTGTAAAGAGCCAAATGTATGTAATAACTTAGGAATGCTGCAGCCATTTGACAACCAAAACAAATAAGCTAATGTTTTGTCAGCTGCATCCAGGACCTTGTCTTTTGTTGATTTAATTTACTTTTTGCCTTGCTTTGCATGCCAAATTATTTGATATATTTACATCTGATATGCAAGAGTTAATCACATGATGTTTGCATTTTGCAGCTTCAGCAGTAGCACCTTTCTACAAGGAGATCCGTTTCTTGGAATTCTCAGGACTCTTGATCTTTTATCCCCTCTGTTGGTTACGTTGATGGTTCGTTTTCTCTATGCGAAGGAGAATTTGCAAGGCACACAAAAACACCACAGCACAACGATTGGAGTTGGTGGGTGAAGAAACCATAGCCCATATTCAGGATTCAGGACTATGTTAGATGCCTTCTGTTTAAATATTTGGTTCTAGTCTTGGTAGTTGGGTGCGTGTTAAAGGATTATATGCGTATTTTTATCAGAGGATGGATGATTCTGGTCGAAGGGTGTTCTAATAATTGTTTTACCCTGTGTGCAGTCTTGCAAACGTTGATCCTATTGATGTTGCCAGAAATATTACAGGGGTTAAATCCAGAAACTACCCTTGGTAAGCATTAAGTTTACTTACTTGTATAATACAAATATTAAACGGAAAAATACTAAATTCTTTATATGTGTATTATTATCTCTTTACTGACATCTTGTGTGGTTTCATTAAGCTTAACTTTTTGTTATTATATGTCCCTTGATGTTAACCTTTACGAAATTTGGTGTCAATGTTTGCACTTGACAGCTTTTCCAGAAGTTGTATCCAAATGAAGAATTCTTTCCTGAGACACGCTGGCCTGAGAATTTGGAGGATGACATTCCGATTAATCTAGAGGACTAATAGTATTAGGCCATTACCCGAGTCTCTATTGTCCCCCTTTGATTTTTCAATAATACATCCGTGTTCTGTACACGTCTTAAAGACTTTAAAATTCAATTTTTTTAAACAGGCAAACGTGCAATATGCGTATTATACATGTACGTACATATTTTCATGCTTAATACATGTATTTGTTTATAAAATTTTCAATGATACACACAAATTTACGTATTATACATATTATTGAATAAACATAATATATTAAAACATTATATTAATTATATTATTTTTAACAAATAGTATAGCCGGCTGGCGACACGCGGTTTTTGAAATTTTTTTTAAAGAACAGTATAGTTAAGCCGGACGGCTATACTCAGTTTTTAAACCAGTATAGCCGAACGGCTATACAGGTTTTGCTAGATTTTTTTATAAAGAAATAGCTCGGCTATTGCTAATTTTTTAAAAAGAAATACTATCGCCGCTCGGCTATACTCGGTTTTCTAATTTTTTTTGTTGTTGAAAGAAATGGCGCCGTTCTCCTCGCCTCCAAGACTTCCCAGGGGGCTCAAATGGCGGCTGAGTCTTGTCGCCCTTAACAAGACTCCTAGCACCGCCAAACAAATCGAAACCAAGCTCCAATTCGCCGATCTTCGCCGACAGGTCTTTCTTTCTATCTCTCTTCTATTTTTATTTTTTTCTTTTTAACCTCATGAAATTTGTCTCCTTGATTTTGTTCTCTCTCTCTCTCTCTCTCTCTTTTTTCTTGAATTTGTAATTTTTGTTTGCTCACTGAGAAAATTTGATCATAGTTGGTTGATCGAACGCCTGAACTTACCCAAATAGTTCAGTCTAGAACCGTTCGTTCTTTGAACTTGGTCCGCCTATAATCCGGCTATACTCTGTTTACAATAGTATAGCCGCCCGGCTATACTCGGTTTATAATTTTTTAAAAAGAAATAGTATAGCCGCTCGGCTATTTCCTATTTTACTTTATAAATAGCGCGCGCGCTATACTGGTTTTTGCGAAAAAATTCAAAAAATTCGTATAGCCGCACTGTTAAACCGATTTGGGTTTAACCTAATCATGAGACATTTATTAAATGATGATAAAACTTCACAAACAAAATCTATATACTTACTCTGAACCATTTAAACTAAGATTCATGCAAACCTACCATCATTCAAAAATCTATATGCATGATTCTTTCCATGCATATATTTTGCAGTCTTGTTTACTATTTAGTGTGAGTTTCCTTGTGAAAATGATTAAGATTTCTTTGGTATAAACTTTGGGTAGTGTTCACTGGTTTGATTACATTTTGTAGATCCAAAGGCTATCGAAACAGCAAGGGGAAGGCAACTGCATTTGTAAGTACTTACTTATCGATTTTTAAGTGCTTATGGTTTCAAATTTTCTTTTTGTTTATTTGAAAGCAATCTGTATTCTGTGTGTTGATTGAGTTGTGGTGGTTGAAGAAACATAGCCCATATTCAGGGACTATGTTAGATGCATTCTGTGTAAATATTGGTTCTAGTCTTGGTAGTTGGGTGCGTTAAAGGATTATATGCGTATTTTTATCAGAGGATGGATAATTCTGGTCGAAGGTATTCTAATAATTTGCTTTACCCTGTGTGCAGTCTTGCAAACGTTGATCCTATTGATGTTGCCAGAAATATTACAGGGTTAAATCCAGAAAACTACCTTGGTAAGCATTAAGTTTACTTACGTGTATAATACAAATATTAAACGGAAAAATACTAAATTCTTTATATGTGTATTATTATCTCTTTACTGACATCTTGTGTGGTTTCATTAAGCTTAACTTTTTGTTATTATATATCCCTAGATGTTAACCCTTACGAAATTTGGTGTCAATGTTTGCACTTGACAGCTTTTCCAGAAGTTGTATCCCAATGAAGAATTCTTTCCTGAGACACCCTCGCCTGAGAATTTGGAGGATGACATTCCGATTAATCTAGATGACTAATAGTATTAGGCCATTACCCGAGTCTCTATTGTCCCCCTTTGATTTATCAATAATACATCCGCGCGGCTATACTTCGGTTTTTCCTTCATTTTTTTTACCTTATTAATCGTATCAAATCCTAATTAATAAATATTTTCTTGAGTTCAACCTAATCATGAGACATTTACTAAATGATGACAAAATTTCACAAACAAAAATCTATATACTCTGAACCATTTAAACCAAGATTCATGCAAACCTACCATCATTCAAAACTAAAACATAGTATGGAGCTCTAAGAAGTCGTGGGAGCCATGCTATATTGTGTAATCACCACCATTACAAAAGCGGCACCAAAACAAGACAATCATTCTTGTGCAGGAAAGCTTTACATTGCTCCTAATCAAACATACTACCCTCAAAGGAAATACTTGTGCAATCTTTGTTGAACAAGCATAAAACAGAAAACTATAGGCACCGCCAAACTTAAGCACATGAGTGTTCTGTAGAAGCTAAGTAACAATTTATAGCTTGTGCAAATATTTCCGACTAAAATAAGTACAGGCACCGCCCATTCTCTTTATAACTTTCTTTTGTGTGGTCTTGTATAATTTATTAATTTTCATTACAGAAGCCCATCATCAGAACTTACATTCAAAATCAATGTAAAGAGACATCGTTGCTACTTACTTTGGATGGTGGCGATGGCAGCTGCTGGTAGTGTTGGCTCGTGGCAATGACGATGGCTGCTGCCCTAGGGCTAGGAACATAAAACGATGAAATAGAGAGGGGAAGCAAGAAGGAGCGGCTATGAGAGAGTTATTGACAAATTTTTTAAAGAGTTTGGGGCAGATTTCTAGTTTCCTGATGATACAGAGTCCCACATCGGTAAAACAAGTGACCACACAAAGGTTATGGGACTTACATAACACTTCAAATTGCCGAGCCTAGTAGCATGGCCTTGTAACTAAGCAGGGCTTTAAAGTGATTGGTTGCTATGGAAACCTTCGTAGGTGTGAGACATAGTGGTCTTGGGCTGTTCACCTTGGCATTAGTGGTGAAGTTGGGTAGCAACCAAACCAGAAATATATGAGAATTTGATTGGGGGGTTACTTCCCCACACAGACCAAGATTCCGCTTGCCTCAGTGTGCTACCCGGGAATAGAGCCCCTCATCACACAATCACTTTTTGCAGAGGCGTTGCGTTGCCGTATGGTACAGTTGTCGTGTTTAAAGAGTCATGCCAAACGCCAGCGTCTTGTTAATTTTAAGAACATAACATAAGCCTCAGGTCCCGCTTCCTCCATTCCTTCACAATAAAAATTTATTAAATTAATTAGTGCCTTTTGTTTTATGTTCTCTCTCCCCCTTTGACTAGCTCTCAGCCATCCAACCACCCACCAATTTCTAACGGGAGCCTCTCCTTCAATCTATTCAAACAAGATGTGAAGCCTATCTTATAAATTTGACTTCATATCCAATCTATGACTGTCTAAATCAATCTAGGGCTAAAGAGAGGCTTGAATTGTTTCAATTTATGAGTCAATGACCTCACAATATATATGGATCATATGTTTTACATATTATTAACACACTAATATATTTTATTTTTAATAATTGAATGTTCAAAAGGTTTACGCCTCGTTTTGCGAGATATAAGATACTTTGTTTCAACGCCTTGCTTTTCAAAACATTGATACAAGTACTTCTTTATTTTCTTTTTCTTTTTTTTGGGTAAGGAATTTAGGAAGAAGATATGTGACTCAAAGGACATAACATATTTTTGTTGAATAATTAACAGCCACCATCCATTCGGGTTAACCCCAAAGCCTATACTCGGTTTTGCTAATTTCCTTAAAAGAAATAGTATGGCCGTGGCTAAACTCGGTTTTGTTTTTTTAAGAAATAGTATAGCTGAGCGGAAGTACTCTGTTTTAATTTTTTTAAAGAAATAGCGGCTATACTTGGTTTTTATTTTTCATAAGAAATAGTATAGCCGCGCGGCTATACTATTGTTTTATATTTAAAAGGTATAGCTGTTCGGCTAGACTATTTATTAAAATAATAAATAATAAAAAAGAACCCGCCTAGCCCGCCTAGGCGGCCCATTTTTCGAAAACTTGAATGGCGTGTGTTTTTTTTTAAATTTCTTTTTTTCCGGCTTGATAACTTCTTATCAAAAGTATCAGTTTATCTTCTTATCTTAGGGGTCCTCCTCCTACTCCTCCTCCCGCTCTGTCTCCAGAGCCAACAATTTCTCCATATCCTGCTTCTCCAGTTCACTCTCCAGCACGCCATCACCTGAAAGTAATCATCTCCCCCCAGCACCATCCAAGGTACCTCCACATCCTCGTCCATGTCTATACCGCGGTTCTGGAATTCCTCCAAGCTCCTCACCAACTTCTCATCTTAACCCTACTGTTCCTCCTTGTTATGCTCCTAATGGTTCCCCTTACTCGCCTTCTGCGAGTCCTTATACGAGTCCCTCATCTCAATTCCTCCAAGCTGAATCACTGGTTGAGATTCAGTTCAGGTTTACCTAAAACAAACATAACACTTAGTGAGTTTGACGGGATAGTTGGTGTCTCCTATTTAAAAATTAAAAAAATATTTTCTGATATGGGGGAAGCGATTAAATTTGGGACCTCTTCCAACAAAGTAGAGAGAAGTACCAGTAGAACAATAGCTAGTTGGTGTCTCCTAGATGCCCAAATTTCTGACCTTTAACTGTCTGAAATCACAAAAACTTATATTTGATAGCTTTATAGGATTTATGGTAAAGATCATGAGACCAGCTTATTTCTGAAACCATTGTCATGTGATCCTTTGGCATTCTGTTTTTCTTTTTCTGGGTGGTGCCTTCTCATAAACAGCACAGAAAATAGATCAGTGCTTCATGTAGCTCTTCATGCTCCAAGGGATGCAGTCTTGTTTACTATTTAGTGTGAGTTTCCTTGTGAAAATGATTAAGCTTTCTTTGGAATAAACTTTGGGTAGTGTTCACTGGTTTGATTACATTTTGCAGATCCAGAGTTTATCGAAACAGCAAGGGGAAGGCAACTGCATTTGTAAGTACTTACGTATCAATTTTTAAGTGATTATTTTCCAGTTCTCTATATCAATGAATTAAGAGCTGGTAAGATGCTAATGGTATGAAGTCTTGAGGCTTTTGAAGTGATTTCCCACTACTACTGTCAAACATTGCGGATTATCGTTCATTCATTGCTGAAACTATGTTGAATGTTCGAAGACCTATACTTTTAAAATATATTATTTGAGAAGTACAGCCGATCGGCTATACGTGTTAAATATATTATTTAAAGAGTTTAGCCGCCCGGCTATACTATTTATAAATAATAAAAAAAAGGAGCCGCCTAGCCCGCCTAGGCGGCCGATTTTTCGAAAACTTGAATGGCGTATTTTTTTTTGGATTTCCGTATTCCTGGCGGGTCTGGTATCTTTGCAAATACATCAAGCTAGGGTTTTACCGACTCTATTGAAGACATCAAATCAGGTTGAGAGGAAAAATGTAAGGGAGAATAAATTTTTTCAGCGACTGCAAAATGGTTTTTTATTTTTCATTGCTCATAACTTGGACTCCAGTTCTTCAGTTCTTCATAACTTGGACACCTTTCAATCATATTTCAATGCATTCAGATGCTGAAGAACTGTTCAACGAGCGTAAAGATCAATTTTCTCTGGTATGAGCAGTCGAGTCAGTGCAAAACTATGAGGGATAGCTGTGTAAGTTATGCATCTGCGGCAGCAAAGGTAGATGCTTGAAGATGTATTCGATGTATTCTCCTTTGAGACATCCCGCAATTTAATTCTCGTCAAATTGACTGTAATGTTTAACTCAAGTAAATATGCATTTGATGAACCCTCATAGGGTTCCCCTGCTTGTCGATTGACATTAATAA